CTAAAGCTACCAGGGTAGTTTCCATGCCAGTTAGGGAAGGTATTACACCTACGGTGAAAAACTATCATGGCCACTGGGAGAAATCTGTAGGGCATTCGTTCCTAGGATGTGGGCTTAGCCACAATGATGTACCCTTTCTTTCTCCTAAAGACAATAATGCAGAATATAGCCATCCTGATAGAACTCTTATGTTTCTTTAAAATATGTCACTTTTTATATTTATAATATAAGATAGGGGGAAAGAGTTATGTGAAGGTCAGATGGAGGGAATGGCCACAAATAATATTATGCTTGGCATTTCTAAACATTCTCGGTTCCCACGAAGTAACCTCCTTTATATTTCAGATGGTAGCAACAAAAGCACTCTTCTCCTTTCCCTCCTGCTCCTACCAAGGGAGATCACACACTGGTTGGCAAAATTTTCTGGTAAAATAATTTTGATAAAAGCACTCATCTTTCTACTTATTTCTTTAAAAGCAACTAATAAAGAGATGCAAAAGCAACAACAAGGGGATGACATTTGGGTGCCTTGGTACCCACATGTGTATGTCTATTTGTTGCATTCACTTACTTGCCTTTTATTTTTCTTAGTATGGCAGCATCTTGGATAGTGCTGGGGAGTGGGATGAAATTACCCTTTTATCACTCCTTTCTGTGACATGTCTTTGTGATTTTTTCAACCAATTCATAGAACTCTGTTCTAGATTCTATTGAATTCCTACAGAAGTTAAAGAATGAGGTAAAGAATGGAGCTTGTACAGAAAGAGAAAGGATGGTGAAGTGAGGGTTTCTTTGGGTCTGCTTGTATATTTTAGTGGATAAGGCAAAGGGACAGTGTTTATCTAAAATGAAAGAGAAAGAAGCATATTGAAGTACTATGAATCTTAACCATATGATGAAATGGGATGTACAGCTAAATTTTATATAAATATTTTCCCTATTTAGGAAAGTTTACTTTTTCAATGATGCGTAGCCTCTTAACAGGGGACAGATGGTAGTAGCAGAGAACCAGGGCTTCTGATACCTATTCCCACTACTTGATTCGGGATGGAAAACAATGTAAAAGTGGCAGGGACCTGCCATCCAGTTAGCAAATCAAAGAATTAACTGGCCCATATTTGCAGAACTTGGGCTAGTGTTATTTTAATGCCCCCTTGCCCAGAGAGGAGTATGGAATTGCCAGAAAATGGCTTTTTAGTTTTCTTTAAGGCTTTGCTTGGTTATGGAGTAAAGAAACAGAATATTTTCACATTGTTCTGGTGTTTGGTGGGAAGCTAGGAAATTTGTTTCCTCCTCTTTTATAAAAGAAAAGAAAAGTTAATTAACTTTATCATGTAATACCTTTCCTTTACCTTAATAACACCTCTGCAATAACGCCTCCGCTTGGCTTAGCTCTTAGAGGTTTTAGAAACAGTATCATACATATCCCATCAAAACAATCCTGGTCTCTTATTGTTCCTAGAATTCTGATTGTTGGTAACATTAAGATGTATTTCCCTTTTTAAAAAAAAATGTCTGAAATGTTATTTAATACACCAGTAAAAGTGCATCTATATCTTAAAGTTTATTCCTCCCATGTCTTTTTGAGTTTTTATAGCTCTTTGTCTGGAATTGGGGGGGGGGGCGACTTCCATATGCGGCTTGTGCATGAAGAGCTTGGGCTCTGAAAGGGTCTGTAGTTGGCGGCAAGCAAACAGCTCTCTGCTCTTAGAATGGGGAGTTGTCATCCAGGAGAGAGAGAGAGAGAGAGAGAGAGAGAGATATGCCCCCACAAAGGCGTAGTTGTCACTGATTTTAGAAAGACAGGGGAGGGTTAGGACCCCATCTGAGCGATATGGAAGGGATTTTGATTGTTATGAATTAACACTAAGTGTGCCAAACAACGCCAATAGGACACCTTGCTGTGGAGTAAATTTGAACCTGTGCCCTTTTTTATTTGGGTCATATATTTTTCCTCCCACCAGCATTTCTTCTGGATTTGTTGTTTAAAAAAGAAAAGGAGAAGCCACACATCGAAAAATATGGCCACAGAGTTCTGCAGCAGAGTGGGAAAAAGAAAGTTTCTTGTGGGTTTGTAACAAATTAGCCATTGTAAATCACAGGGCTTTAAGGAAAATCCATGTGGAAAGTGATGGGGGCTCTTTCCCTCCTCCTGTTAAGAAATCTCATTCTATCAGAGGAATTTTTATGTGACCTTTTATGTTCTAAGGCACATGATTCTGGAGAAAATTATTTGATATTAATAACTTTTTGTTGATGTTGTCCCCCTAACAAATATTCCTTCAAAGTTGGTGCAGCGACTGGGCAAGGCGGGTCTAGGCAAGGCAGGCCCTTGAGCTGCCAGCGGGCATCAGCTTCTGCGCTCAGCCGCTAAACAGGAGCCAGGCCCTCACAGCGTGCACCCACCCCACCCAGGCAGATGAGGTGAGGGCCCAGAAAGCTCGGCTTGAGAGCTCTGGGAGAGGAGAGAAGTGAGAGAAACCGGGCATCCCTTGTACTTGCAGCCCAGGCCTACGGTCCAGAATGCTGCAAACAGCCCCTGGGAGTGTCTGTTTGGAAATCAAGGATTCTTTGCCGCGCTCCGGGGCTCCGACGCCAGGACCCCAGTGGAAAGGGTCCACAGCTCCGACTTTGTGGGCTATTCCAACTCTCTCCCTTCCTGGGGAGGCCCATGTGGGGGACGTCCACTGCGTGGACGATTGGTGGATTCACCGGCTGAGACTGAGGCTAGAAGTGGTTAGGTGGAGTTCAGATGCCTTGGGTATGGCCGCCGTTCCAGGGAAAGGACATCTAAAAGCAGGAGTTGGAAGGGCTTTCATGACTACCAGAGAGATGTGGTGGGGCTCAGAGGGTTGCTTAGGAATAGAGGGCTCAGAGGACAGTGAATCTCCTAGCTTTCTGCCTGCGTGCTTTTGTGCTTAACTCTGCAAAGTCGGGCCCAGGACATTGCTTCCACTTGGGAGAGGCAACTGAGGGAGACGGTGCCCCAAGAAAAAGGGGAGAGTAAACAACTACAAGAAAACTGGGGGAGAAAATGGACTGCTGCATGGGAAATAAAAGAATTAGGTCCGAGAGGGCAAAGAATGGAGGACAGTGGAAAGCTGGGGAGCAAAGTTCTGAAGCATGCGCCCTTCAGTTCCCACCCATCAAACTTCTGGCTGTTTGACCTCAATTCCCTGCCTCCAATGGAGAGGAACTTTTCCTCTAGACGCGTGAAGGAAAACCATTCTCTAAACCCCAGAAGCCGGCCACTCCCTGCTGAGCCTAAAGTCAGTTCTTAGCAAAGAAAAGTCAGTTCCCCAGAGACGGGAACCCGGGAGCCCCTCTGGGCACCCTATGATCCCAAGCTAGGGCTAAAAGCTGTGAGTAGAGAGGGTCGCGCCCCCGGACTGGGGGCCTGGCGTTCACCTCCGTGGGTTGGCCACTCCTAGGGCCTTGGGACCCCTCCACCCCTATTAGCTATCCCAGGCTCCTGTGAGAAGTCTCCCAGTGACAAAAAACTGGGCTCTTAAAAGCCTTGCAGAAGGGTGTTGGGAGTTCCAACGCGGTCTTTCCCCTCCTGTAAGAGATGAGGCCGGTTGGGGGTCAGGGTCACTTGGATCCGGGGGTGCACGTCCTGGCCGCTGAGGCGGGAAGCTGGCTGGGAGCGGTGGGAAGGCAACCAAAGGCAGAGGCTGGGGCTCCCGCGGGGGGCAGGTCTGTGCTGGCTCCGGGCCTGGCTTCCGAGGGGCGGCCCAAGCCTCCCTCTCGCTCCTGCCGCGCCGGCCCGCGGCCACTCACCGCGCTCTGCTGCTAGCCCGGGCGGGGTCGTACACAAACAAGGATGCTTCTATTTACTCGCCTCTGCCTGTGGATTTCTAAGACATTCAGCAGGCACAATCATTAAACTAATTTGTATTTGATTGTTTGGGCGGACGGAGGGTAGTTTTATTGCGCTAAGCATTCAAGCAGGCACGCATCGCTGATTACCAGTATACATTAAATAAAGTTGTTTGTACACATTGTCTTACCACATATAGGCAGAGGCTTATTATTCTAATTACTCTAATTAGTGCATTGAAATGTTTTCTACTTGATTTGAGAAGACAGTGATTAGTTCTATTACTTCTTTTAACTCGTATTTTATGGAAAACTGTTGATGCATGTTCAAATCACTTTATTTGCCCCTAGAATATAACGGTGACCCAAACGCAGTGAACTGCACGGCCCTTGTGGGGGCCCAACTTTGATGTGGGCCTGGGCTTGGAAGAGGCGTCTGGTATTTATTATTTTGCTCTCATCCGCGCAGCCTAGTCTCCCAGCGCGGGGCCCGCGGCCCCTGCCCCATCCTGCGCCCCAGATGCGCTCCGGTCTCTGACCGAGTTCCAGGAAACAGAGATCCGAAACCTGCTCGGACTCAGCCTCCCTGAACTGCTGCCCTGCTACGTCCCCTGATGCGACTGCCTTTAAAAGACTCCCTTAAGCATATTTTCCGTGAATCTGTTTCTTGAGCTTTAATGTTACTATTAATTGATAAGATCAGCTCATCAAACATACTATTTCGATAGGGAATTGTAATTAAAACCTTAATCCTGTTTGAGACTTTTTTCCTTTAAATTCCTTTTTCTTATGGAAGGGGTACAAAGTTCACTATAAAAAGTATTATAACAGGGAGATTAATTCGTTATCTAAATAACAATCTTTGCTATTGATCCAACGTACTTTCCGCCACCTTTTGTGTTAGTCCGGGAGGCCCTTAAACAGGAGAATATGACAAAGCGGCAGATTTGGACCGAGCCCCGCAGACTCCGATCTACTTGGCAAAGCGAGGGGTATGAGGACCGCCGCCCTCCACAGTCGGAGGAGGCTTTCCAGGTGGATCCTTGCAGTCCCGCCGCTGCCACTGGGGAAGCGCAGCGCCAGAGCCGCAGGCTTGGTTGCTGGGCCTCCCGCGCGGTCCTCTCCCCTCTCAAAGGGAGATCTGCTCAGTCTCTAGGTAAATATTCGACCGGTTCTGCTTTTACTTTTAATATTTAAACTCGGATTATCCTGTCTCTAAATGCGCGTTCCTAACCTTTGCCGGTGGCTGGATGTAATAAACCCTGGCGGGCTGGGCGCTCAGCTTCGGCTGGTCGCGCCGCCGCCTCCCGCCCCCGCCCCGCCCCCCAGTCCCTGCCCCTCCGCCCCTCGCCGCCCGCAGCGAAAGCCGCGCGGGAATGAAATCAGCGCCTCTCGGCAGCTGACGGCTGAGCATCCAGGGCGCTCGCAGGAGGGGGAGACCGCCCTTTATCCTGGCTGAAGAGTCCTCGGGGGCTGCAGATGGAGACGTGCAACCCCGCGGCGCCCCGGAGGAAAAAGAACCCGGCTTCCTGAAAGCAGCAGCCCCCAGGCATGGGAGGGGTGGTGGAGTGGAGTAGGGGGCCTAGGAAGTTGGGCTGGGCCGCCGTTGTGTATGTGTGTGTGGCGGGAGGAGAGTGCACCCTGTCCAAATGTATATCCCCTCCTTGCACGCCCCCTTTAAAAGAGGTCGTGGCCCCAGTTTGAGAAGAAGCCAAAGAATTTCTGAAGCGAAGAGGACCGTTTGTGCTCCCAGGTCAGCTAAGTAGTCGGAGATTTTCTTCTTTTCTAAGAGCTTCCCCCACTCACACCCTCCTTCTTCCCCTCAAACAAAGTCTTCATCCCCCACGCAGAGACTTGTTATGTAACAAAGTCTCCCAAGCTAGTTTAACTGGAGAATAAAGGACACCCTAGCCCCACCCTCCTTCCTCCCCCCACCCCACCCCAGTGCATCTGTTCTCGAGGACTTCAGTCCTCGCACCCAAGAAGGCTGCAGGCCTTGGCCCAGTAGAACTTTGGCGCCGCACAGTGGCACCAGCTTGTAACTACTCTTGATTTTACAGCCGCCTAATCCGTTCAAATGTTTTGTTTCCAAATCAAATTCACCTTCCCCCTTCTCCTCTCCCTCTTCACTCTACATTCTTTCCCTTACCCTGCCAGCCAAATAATTATGAAGGTGACTCTATGCATATGACTCATACAAAGACTTCTAAACATCCCGTCCTAGGTAGTTCCTTAGGAGAGATTTGGAAAATATCACCAAAGGGGACCATACACTCTATACCAGAAAAGTTCCCAAAGGAAGGGAGGAAGAAGAAGTATAAGAAGAAGAAGAAGAAAAACCTCAAGTCTTCGTTTCTACAGGTTAGGACTGTTATAGGCAAGTATTGTTGTCTCAGAGAAGTCCCAGCATCCCATGGGCATCAACACCAGAATACCAAGTTAGAAGCCATAATTTAAAAGCAGGGTGAATGCTTCAATTAGGAGAAAGGGAGTCCAGAAAATGCTATTTTAACTCAATCCAGGAGTCATCTGATATTTCTTTCTACATAGTAGGTTTGTCCCATTTTAGGGTTCAAAATGAGTTTGTTTGTTTGTTTGTTTCCCCCAAGGGGCCACTTGAACAGAGATACATCCTTGGAAATTTTTCCAGAATAGAGAAAGCATCCCAATCTCTAAATGATCCAATGTACTTTCCGCCACCTTTTGTGTTAGTCTGGGAGGCCCTTAAACAGGAGAATATGAATGACAAAGCAGCAGATGGCTACCAAAAGTATCAATTCAGTCTGTAGAGCTTTGCTTCCTTCAGAGCCCAGTGAATTAGTCCTTTCCCCACAACACGGGCCACTTTCACTGTGAGTGGTCTTTCCTTCCTATGCCTTTATCCTAAATAACATGACATGGAGGGGAAGAGAGAGGACAAGATCTTCAGGCAGTACTCAGCAGTAGTTATGGAACTGGCAATGGGCTTGCCAGTCAGAACACCTGCATTTGTGTACCAGCTCTGTACTTAGCTAGCCAGCAACCTGGGGGATATCAGCAAATCTATTTCTTCATGTGCAGAATGTGGATAATATCACTTTTTAATCTTTCCAACAGGGTAGCAGTAAGGCTCAAATGACATTATGCACATGAAAGCACTACATAAAGTATAAATCTAATGTGAAGTGCTGTTGCTGTCAACTCTAGTGGAGGCCTCCACTGTGACTGTCCAGCAAGAAATGTTTCTAACTTAAATATGATACAGCCTTATGTCTGCCAGTGCAAGGAAAAAGAAATTCAAGGATAGCCGTCCCAATTGCATTATTTAGGGAGGCACCACAATTCTGATTAGTTTTAAATTAGGGTTGCTACTCACCAGACTTTCTGCATTTAGGATATTCAGACCCTAGTTTGTAGTTAAAGCTCATCATTAGGGGCTCCAGCACTACACACCAGTGAACGCAGAGAGAGCAGCTTTGCTATGATGTGAGAGTTAGCCTAGTACTCTGAGAAACACTCCATGTCTTTAACATCTCTTAACGTTTTCAGCATTTTTCTCTGGGTGTCTTTTATAGCAGCATGAGTCAATCAAGAAGTCAACACTGGGATCATACACTCAAAACCAACCGCACCCAAAGCCACAGCAATGGCAATAACCACAGGAGAATCCCTGAGGGCCACCTACGTGTGAAAAGAGCTACATCCAGTCACTGGACTTAGAAATAAAGATGATTTGGATCCCACAGGCACTCTGCGACATGCTTTAATATCTAGGAGGGGCGCTAGGGGAGAAGCCGGTCCCCATTTTGGGGTACTCTTCATCACTAAGGGATCCCATTCCATTCAGGAAGTCCTTTCACTTGCCTAAGTACCCTTCCTCTGATGGAGGAGGAGGGACCTCCTAACCTTTAGCAGAGGAATGGCCCAGGCCATTCCCTCCGTTTGTCCCAGTAGGTGGGCCCCTAGGCATCCAGCCTGACATATGGGAGGGGGGGAGGAGGCTGTGGTCGTTTCCCATTCCGCTTGGAAGCCAGGTGTTCTGCGTTCCTCCTGAGTGGAGGAGGCAGGTGTGCGAGCAAGACCCTGTGCTGGCTGAGGAAGGGTCTCTCTCCAGGAGGCTCAAGGATTTGGCCCGCCCTTCCTCCGCATTGGCCATCAAGGGCCGCTTTGGCTCTGCCGGGGTTGAGATTTACAAAAACGTGCTGTCGCCTCAGAAGTTCAGCGTGGAGAGGGGAAAGGAGGTGGATGACTGGATATGCCACACCAAACAGGGTGTCAGCATCACAGTGCCCACAACACCCAGGCACCCGCGAAGCCGTCTCGCAAAAAACCCCAAAGCAGCCTCACTGGAAAAGATCTGAGGCTCCATGCGGCCCCAGGCTGTGCCCCAAAGGCTTCTCTTCCCATAGCACCAGGATCAGAAGACAGAGCAGCGATGGCTGCCTAAGGCCCCAGGAACAGCGCGTCTTTCAGGAGGGTGGGAGAGAGGGAAGTCGAGGCAGGAACCAGGACATTCTGGTAGCAGGCATATCGAACAGGAGCCAGACTTAGCACTAGAGGCCAAACCATAGCTTCAAGAACAGAGGACTTACTGCCAAGACCTTGGGGACACTTGAACCAAGATTTGTGGGCCTGCTGCCTACAAGGTCTCGGGTTGATAATGCAGGTGCATGAACACACATGCATTTGCAAAAGACAGATCTGAGTTCAATCGATTGGAATTCTTAGTTGGAGTAATCAAAGTTAGAAGAGAAAGGTCATTCAGCAATTAAGAAAAAATAAAGGAGTAAGAACTGTTTGGCAGAAAGAAGTTGAGTGGGCACTCTATATAGGAAGCAACTGGCACAATGTGAGAGGCAGAGAAGCAGGAAAAGGCAGAGGGTGAGCAGGTTTGACATTCTGGGCCAGAGAACAGAAACTGGCGGCCAGCATAAGAAGGCTGCTGAGGGAGAATGTGCATGGAGTTAATTGGTAGAGGGTCTAGAAGAAGATTTAATTAGATTCCAACAGCAATTAAGAGCCATTGTAGAGAAGAGATCCGGTGAAAATAATGCTTTGGGAGGAAGAGAGTTGGCATGGGGTATCAGGTTGGAAAGGGGTGAGGATGAGCACAGAACATTAGATATGAAAGAGGCTATTGGAGTATAGCTGACTGACTCAAAGTGGTCAGTCAAGGTAGTCTGAAACATGCAGTTGATGGTGTTTAAATGGCTGGAGGGGCTAAAAAAGGAGACATTTGAAGAGGTGAGACCATGATTACATTTTAGGAGAATCAATTGTGTAAGCATAGAGGAAAATAAAAGGGAATTGGAAAAATTGTGTTTTAGATGTATTTCTCTCTCTAGAATCACACACACTTGCACACGTGCATCATAAAACCATCAGTGCAGCATATTTTCAACATTTATCCATTGAATCCACCTCTAAGGCTGACTCCAATTCAGGATTTCTTTAATTAAAAATTAATTAGTTAACTAATTAATTAATGCTGGATCCGGTCTTAAATGATGTCTCTGTAACTGACAGAATATGAAGAAAAAAATGAACATAAATCACAGGCCATACATTTTTTCGTCTTATAGGCACTATCTGTGAGGTTGAGAAAACTTTATAGAAGGATTACAGCCAGGCTTCTACAAACTTCCTATGAGACCTGCATGGACCATATCACTTATTTTTTTCATGTGTCTTCTACATATATGTTCATTTAAATCTTTGTTTCAAAGACAGCTTTAACAATCTATTTTAAAGAAATTTGGGCATATATTAAACTTTTTTTAAAACACATATTCAGCCAACTAAAATTATGAGGGGTTAGATTTTAGGAAAATATATTCACTTACATTTACTACTACTTCTCAATTAATGCATAAATGCCCTCTGTCTAGGATTTCCCAGCCTTTAAAAGGTAGGAATGGTATACTGGATTATTCTCAAATAGGAAAAAACAAAGTAATTTGAATGGAGGACTACTGTATACAAGCACGTCAATATTCTCTTGAATATAGTAAAAAGTGATTGATACTGCCCAGTTTTTAAACAAAGAGCATGAGAAAGCTGAAAGTTTTCCCTCTAAGATCAGGAGCAAGAAAAGGATGCTCACTCTTACCACTTGTATTCATTGTACCAGGTAAGTCCTAGCCTGAGTAATTAGAAAAGGGGCGAGGGGAGCATCCAAATTGGAAATAAAGAAGTGAAATTGTCTCTGTTTGCAGATGACTTGTTCTCATAGATAGGAAACTCTAAACACACTAAAATGCTAAAGAAAGCTGTTAGAACTAATAATTAAATTCAATAAGAATGCAGGATACAAAACTGACATATAAAAATCAATACCATTAACATACACTAAGAATAATTTATAAACGTCTTTATTTCCAAAAAAGGAATAAGAATATAATTATGTTTAAAGAATTTTGAAAATACTTAACCAAAGAAATTAAATGTGTACAATGAAAACTATAAAACACTAATAAGAGAAATTGATATATGGAAATATATACCATGTTCATGTATTAGAAGAACTAAAATTATTAAAATGTCCATACTATCCAAAGTAATCTATAGAATCAATTCAACCCCTATCAAAATTCAAATGTCATTTTTAATAGAAAAAAACTTTTAAATAGTAAAATTTATTTGGAATCACAAAAGACCAGGGATAGCAAAAACAATTTTAAGCAAAAAGGAACAAACCTGAAGGAATCACACTACTTGATTTCAAAATATATTACAAAACTATAGTATTCAAAATAGGGATGCAGTGACATACAGATCAATAGAATGGAAATCCCAGAAATAAATTATGCCTTTACAGTCAATTTATTTTTGATAAAGTTGCCCGAAATGCAATGGGGAAAGGACAATATCTTTAATAAATTGTAATGGGAAAATTGCATATCTACATGCAGAAAAATTAAAGTGACTCTTGTCTCACACTACATTAAAAAAAAACTCAAAATGAATTAAAACTTAAAGTAAAATCTGAAACTGTCAAACCAATAAAAAAAAAATAGGTCACAAGTTTGTTGATTGGTCTGGGCAATTTTTTTTTTTTGACACAACCCTGAAAGCACAGACAACAGTCAAAAATAGGCAAGTGAGAGTATATCAAATGAAAAAGTTCCCACAGCAAAAGAGACAATAAACAGGGTGAAGAGAACCTGTTGAATAAGAAAAAAATATTTGCAAACCATACATCTGATAAGGTAAAATAATGGAAAGGAGAAAGTCTAATTTTTTTAAGAAAGGGAAATAGGTCTAAAAAGACACATCCAAAATAAGACGTACAAATAGACAACAGGTATATAAAAAAATGCCTAGTGCCATTAATCATCAGGGAATTGCAAATCAAAACCACAATGAGCTATCACCTCACCCATTAAAATAGCTATTATCATAAAAAGACAAAAGATGCTAGTGAGGATATGTGAAAAGGGAACCCTTGTACACTTTTGGAGGCATTGCAAATGTGTGCAGCCAATAAAGAAAACAGTATGTAGGTTTCTAAAAAATTTTTAAATAGAACTACCACATGATTCAGCAATTTCACTACTGAGCATATAGCCAAAGGAAATAAAATCAATATGTCAGAGAGACATCTGCATGCCCACATTTACTGTGGTATTATTCACAAGAGCCAAAATATTAAATACAATGGATAATCAAAAAAGAAAATATTACACACACACATACACCTGTGCACAATGGAATACTATTCAGTATTTTAAAAAGAAGGAACCCTTTCATTCGTAACAATTTGTGTCATTTGTATTCAACACAGATGAACCTGGAACACATTATGCTGTGTGAAGTAAGCCAGGCACAAAAGGATATATTGCATGTTCTTACTTACATGTTGAATTTAAAAAAAAGGGGGGGGGGTGAACTCAGAACAGAGAATATGGTAATTCTCAGGACTGGGACATCTGTTGAGGATTGGGAGATGTTAGCAAATTTTTTTACCACAAAAAAAGTATGTATGTAAAGTTATAGATATGTTAATTAGCTTTATTAAATAATTTCACAATGTATACATTTATCAAAATATAACATTATATACCATAAAATATACAATTTTTATTTGTTAATTATGCCTTAATGAACCTGGGGGTTGGGAATAAAGACAGGCCATGGCCTGTATTATCTGTATTCTTAAAAGTCTGTCATATTTTAAAACCTTGTACAAATGATATAAAACTTTCACAAAATTTCTCTTCTATCTAAGATAGTCGATTTAAGTTGGTTCTATTTTCCACTACCCATTTAAAATCAAACTAACCAGAGGACCTTAATTTTTTTTTCTTGGAAAATCTTCAAGTGATATTCAGAAAGAAAAAAAAAAAACTTACCTGAAAATGTTTATTAAAGATTAATATTTTAAGATACTGGGGGAAAATGAGAAACTATTTTCTGCAACATTTGTCAGAATAAGATTTAGCTCTAATTTGTTAATAAAATTAAAGTTTTCTGTAGTCATTATGCAAGCATTTTTTCAGAGGAAGACATACTAATCCCACACATCCCCCCCACCCCCGCATATTTTACAAACTGTACCATGTAAAAAACCTGTCGGGTGCAACTAAGTGGACTGGGAAGGCTATTGGCTCTGAGTTAGAAGATGTATGTGTACAGCAGAGGATCTGCCAGATGCTTCCTGCCTCTCTAACGTCATTAGCATAATCTCTTAATTTGGAAGGAAGAGGAAAAGGTATTATCAGTACTGCATGGGGGCTGAATTATCAG